AAGAGGTAATAGGAATGATATTCCATAAAGAATGGAATATGTAAGGAATAGAATAGAAATTGTATTTTCTTGGATTTCTTTGATTATGGAGTGTATTAGTACGGTTCATTATCATGTTATTCTTGAAGGGGAGGAGTGGGGTCCTATTGTTCCTAGTCGGGGGCTCCGTCAAGGGGACCGACCCTCTTTCTCCTTAGTAGTATGTTAAGGGTGAGGGAAGATATGGGTGTACTTCATGGGGTTTTTATTGCTAGAGGGGTTCCTTCTATTGGTCATTTATGTTTTACTTACTGCCTTCTTTTTTTCAAATCAAATTATTTGGAGGTTAGGGTTATTAGGGTGGTGTTGAGGGTGTTTGGCGATGCTTCAGGGCGGGTGGTAAATTTTGAAAAATCAGAAGTGAGTTTTGGGAGAAATGTGACATGGCTGGAGAGGGACATTGTCTGTGATGAGTTTGGGGTGCGTAGTACCAATCTAGGGGGCAATATTTGGGTCTTCCGGGTCTGGTTGGGAGGTGGAAAAATGACATATTGGGGTAGATTAAAGATCGTAGAAAGTCTAGGATTAGGTCGTGGGCTAATATGTACATGTCTCGGACTGGGCGTGAAATTATGTTAAAAGTTCTTCTTCAATCTATTCCAAACTACGCAATGCATGTTTTCTTATTACCAAAAGGGCTTTGTGTTGATATGGAAAGACTTTGTAACTCCCTTTGCTGGGGGTGTGAGCGGAGAGAGGGTAGTAGTGGTATTCGGTGGAAAAGGTAGGAGGATTTATGTTTACCAAAAAAGTTAGGGGGATGCGCTTTCATAGAATGCGTGATATGAATGTTGCTTTATTGGGTGAACAAGGGTGGAGATTTCTTACTAGACCCGATTCTTTAGTAGCTAGGGTGTTTCGCTCTAGATATTACCCTGGTGGGTTTTTTTTTTTTTTTTTTTTTTTTTTATGATGCCTAGTTAGGGAGGGTTACGTCTTATGTTTGGAGAAGTGTGTGGGAAGCTTGGGGTGAGGTTCGTCAGGGGGTTAGATGGAGGGTGGGAACTTCGTGTGATATTAAGGTGTGGGGTGATCCTTGGTTGCCATCTCGGGTTAATCCTTGTGTTATTACTCATGTTTTTGATCATTTACATACTGCTACGGTAAATTGTCTTATGAATGATGCTTTGGATGATTGGGATATGGAGATTTTGAATGATTTGTTTCTTGAGAGAGATAAGCAGTTGATTTTAAGAGTTCATATCTCTTTTTCAAAAGGGGTGGATAATTTGTATTGGGATGGGGAGGGAAATGAGCATTATTCGGTTAAGAGCGCTTATCGTTCGATAGTAGGGGAGAGAGAGGGGCTGTATCGGGGTAGTTGTACTAGGATGTGGAACTTGCATATTCCACCGAAGGTTGAATGTTTTTTTTTTTTTTTTTTTTTTTTTTTTTTTTTTTTTTTTTCTGGAGTATGTGTTCTGGCTCGTTACCTACTAAAATGGCACTTTCTATAAGATGAGTTAATTGTGGTACTCTGTGTGCGCTGTGTAGAGTTGAGAGGGAATCTGCTGCCCATGTGTTTCTTTTTTTGTGATTATATTGTGCGGGTTTGGGATGCCTATTGTTGGCATTTGGATGTTGAGGATGAGAGTGGGTTTTGGGAATGGTTGGAAGGTTGTTTTCAACACCTTACCAGGGAAGAGTTATGTCTATCTTATTCTAATTTTTTTGGGGTATTTGGGAGACTAGGAATAAGAGATTTGGCAGGATATGAATATTAATCCAAGAGAGGTGGGTTGTCTCTCCTTGGCGGAGGGTTAGGCGGCATTCTAGAGGAAATGTTATGGAGTCCGGGAGGGAGTAGTATGTTGGATAACACCATTTTTTGAAACTAAAGGTTGATGCAGCGGTTCGTGAGGATATGAATATGCTTGGAATGGGTTGGGTTCTCCGTGATCACATGGGCATTGTTGCAGCGGCTGGAGCTGTGGGAAAGAGAGGATATGTTCTACCAAAGGAGGCTGAAGCCTTGGATATCCGGGAGACATTAAGCTGGTTAAAGGATCGAGACTATGATGATGTTCTTGTTGAGACCGATGCTCAACTAATTATTTCTCAATTACACACTAATAATAGCTCATTGTATGGTTTACTTCTGCGTAATATAAATGTTCTTTTAGCTTTATTTTCAAATGTGAATCTTTGTTTTGTAAAGCGTTCTGCTAATAATGTGGCTCACTTATTAGCTAGAGATGATGCTATTTTGGTAGGAAGTCGGTTTTGGTTTGATATTGGCCCTCTTTTTATTTTTTGTGCTCTTTGTAATGATTTAAAGGAATATATGAAGTTTTTGTGGTTTGTTTTCAACAAAAAATAATAATTAATAATTAATAATTAATAATAATAAATAATAATTATGAATTGTATTCTATTGTTTGGTTCGCGGAAGGAATATAGTTTACGAATTATATTACAGTGTTGGGTTGGTATAAAGAATAATAATAAATACACTTATAATTAAAAGACATAAATACTCTTATAATAATAATAATAATAATAATAATAATAATAATAATAATAATAATAATAATAATAATAATAATATTCATATTCATATTCATATTTTAATTACTTAGAGTTTATATCCACATCGTATAGACTATTTGTTAAAATCTAGTATTATATATATATATATATATATATATATATATATATATATATATATATATATGATTATTTTCAAATACAAACACCCCTTAAAATACAAACCTCCCTTAAAATACAAACTGTGTGCATGTAAGTGTGATAATGTGTGCACGAGCTAATTCCAGATATTTTTGGCAGTGCGCCCAGTGTGCATGTAAGTATGTTAATGTGTGCACGGGCTTTGATGGATGGTTGTGATTTTTCCTCCTACGCGCTGTGTGCATGCAAGTATGTTAATGTGTGCACGAGCTTTGATGAATGATTGTGGTTTTTCCTCCTACGCGCTATGTGCATGTAAGTATGTTAATGTGTGCATGAGCTCATCTCAAAAATTGTTGGAAGTGTGCCCTGTGTGCATGTAAGTATGTTAATGTGTGCACGAGCTCAAGTTTTTATTTTAAGGGGAGTTTGTATTTTAAGGCGGTTTGTATTTGAATGCAACCCTATATATATATATATATATATATATATATATATATATATATATATATATATATATATATATATATATATATAAGTAAAATCCTCCTAACAAATTTTCCCCCCCAAAACTTTTGTAGTAAAACTTATTTGGTAAGTAATGTCAAATGGAAATTAAATTAAATAAATAAATAATAATAATAATAATAATAATAATAATAATAATAATAATAATAATTTTATTACCTTAAATAAATAAATTATTATACTTTCCTTTTGAATTAGTATTTTCTACTTATAAATACAAGGGCTTCTTCAATCAAAGAATCTCAGACTCATCTCTCTGCTTTCTTTTTGTATGAATTTTTTACATTTTTCTAACTATATTCTCACGTACTTCAATATGTTTTGCAGTTTATATCGTCTGGTATGAGTTTGAAGATATTTAAGGAGGCTCTCCTTCAACAAAAGGAAATTGAGGAGGAAGAGCATTTGTAACAGAACCATATTGGTTTAGTTTTTATGGAAGATTGTAGAGATGCGATCGAGGATGATAAAGACGGTAATTTTGATGATTTTGTAAGATTTTCTGAAACTTAGAGTTAGTATGTTGATTTCGAGATTTGTACATGCCATTCAAGTTTCTATGTTTTTTTTAACAAGCATAGTTCATTTTATAGCATTTTTATAATTAATATATATATATATATATATATATATATATATATATATATATATATATATATATATATCTGTAGTATAATATAATATAATAATAATAATAATAATGATGTTATTAACTTAAATAAATAAATAAATTATTATTCTTTCCTTTTAAATTAGTATTTTTTACCTATAAATATAAATTAGTATTTTCTACCTTAAATAAATAAATTATTTTGCCTAATTTATATTATATTCTTTAAGCTACAATTTTGACATGATATCTTCGTAGCCCATTTTATTATATTGAGCCTTGGTACACAAGTCCAAATCAAATATATGTATGTACATGCATAACAATAATCCTAATCTATCTATATAACTATAATTAAAAGTAAAATCCTCCTAGCTAAATTTTTCCCCCAAAACTTAGAGGCATTTATGTAATATCATCCATTATTTATATATAGATATTATTATATGCCATTATATTCAAATCAAATTATAGTAATTTTATATTCATCTCCATTTATATTAGATATATTCCTATTTCCGTGTATTATAGGACTTCAATATATTAGGCATAATCAGACTCAAATCAAATCAAATTATAGTAATTTTATATTCATCTCCATTTACATCCTAATAGTATTCCACTATTCCTATTTTCATGTATTATAGGACTTCAATATATTAGGCATAATTAGACATGCCTAATAACATTTACCGTGCAGAATATACTGAGATTAACTAAATACACCGAGAATATGCAGACGACGGCGATGATGCTATCTTCCCAGAGGTCGACGGAGGACCACGATCTGCTCACACGCAGCACAAAGAAACACAAGCAGAATGCCGATGCGACTCCTGGCGCAGGCTTGGAGATGGTGGACATGGTTCAGGAGACGCCGATGGACATGATCCACGACTACACGGCGCTGGTGGAGGCTCCGCGACGTCAACCGCAGCCGATCTCTTTCAGGGATCTTGTTGCGGGGGCTACTGCACCGGTCGATGAAGAGGGGGAGGATGACGGCTTCTCCGAGGGAGAAGATGCGGAAGAGGATGATGATCCACTATGTCCGGTAATCAGGTTGACGAACAGGGAGAAGGAAGAGCTCCGACGGCCATGGCGGAATGCGGTGATTATCAAAGTCTGGGGGAAATGAGTGGGGTATTCGTTCTTGCTCAGACAGCTGAATGCTTTGTGGAGACCGAAAGGCAGCATGGACATGGTGGCGATCGATAATGACTACTTCCTTGTCCGTTTCGGCTCTGCCGATGATCTAGATCACGCGATATTCGGGGGGGCCTGTAGGATACTCGATCACTATCTGATAGTGAAGGAGTGCTCACCGGACTTTGATCCAATAAGAGACAAGACCGAGAAGGTCCTGGTATGGATATGCTTTCCTTGCTTACCTATCGAATATTACAGTGCATCTTTTTTGCAGAAGGTTGGGAAGAAGATCGGGAGGCCTGTTCAAGTAGATCAAGCGACAAGCCAGGTTTCCCGGGGCAGATTCGCACGTATGTGCGTCGAAATCGATCTCACTAAGCCGCTAATCTCAAAGTTTAAACTCAGGAAACGGACGCGGTTCATAGCGTATGAAGGGATACACCTGGTTTGCTTCGGCTGTGACATGTATGGCCATAGTCACGAAGCCTGCCCAGAAAACAAAAAAACACCGCCAGCTGGAGAGACCATGCAGAATGTCGAGGACGTAAATACGGGAAACCAGCCTGCGGCGGCAGAAGGGTCGCCAGTTTCTAATGCGAAGGCGGGGGAGGATAAAGCGTCGTTTGGGGCATGGATGCTAGTGACGAAGGAGGATAGAAGGAAAGGCCGACGAACCACCAATGGAGGCGGCAACCATGCGGCCGGTCAATCGCCGCAAGGCCGATCGCGTTTCGCGCCCATTGCAAACATGGAGGAACAGGTCCACGATGACCTGATCGCGGAGCCAGAGTTCGAAACAGAGGAGGAGCAATTGGAGGGAGGTGCACATGCAATGGAAAAACACAAATCGGGGGAGAATCAGGGGACCACCAAGGGACGAAATCAGCGAAGGCCAAACGTGGTAGTTACTGAGAAGCAGGTAGCGAATCAACCAGTGGCGAAGACGGTCCCGGCCGCGAGGACTGTGGGCGGACAAGACACTCGAGTTCAGTCTAGAGTTATCTCGCGGAGGGCAGCTGAGGAGGAGGAGCATGTGGTGGTTAGGGGCTCGCAGGGGGGAGTGGTTGTTTACACAGAACGAATTATTTCCGAACCAGCATGCAACACGAGCCCCATGCGCCAACTGGAAAACATGGGGGAACACTTTAGTGATGAGCCAACCGGCATGGAAGTTGACGGTGATGGGGATATAGAAGGAGACGGGGACCCGGGGGGAGACGCGGCGGATTTAGACTCCACTGTCTGATCGCGGCTTTCTTTGTGTTTTTACCTTTGTTTTCGGTTTGTTTCTTCGTTTCTCACCTCTTTATTGGTTTTAATGATAGGGCTCATTTGGAATTGCCAGGGCGCCGGAGGAAGAGATTTCCACCGTGTCCTAAAACAATTAATCAAAACGTACTGACCGAGCCTGCTGGGCTTGGTTGAACCAAAAGTATCTGGAGAACAGGCAAACAAAATCTGCACCAAGCTTGGTTATGAGGACTGGGTTCGCGTGGAAGCAGTGGGGTTTAGTGGGGGAATTTGGGTGCTTTGGAATAAACCGCTGGATATATCAGTAAAATACACTCACCCTCAATTTATCTTATTGCAGGTCGCGGAAAATGGAGGTACACCATGGACTATGGCAGTCGTCTACGGCAGCCCGGTTCAGCATCTTCGGAGAAGGCTCTGGTTGGAGCTCCATGCGCAAAAACGTAGCATCCTCGGGCCCTGGATAGCGGCAGGGGATTTTAATGCCGTCACCTGCGAAGGGGAAACTCATAATTACTCAGCGTTCTCTCCCCAGCGCAGTGTGGACTTTGCGGATTGGATTTACAGTGAAGGGCTCGTGGACATGGGCTTTAGTGGGGCCCGACTCACCTGGATGCGTGGGTCGGAACCTGTGAAAGGGGCCCGACTTGATAGGGCACTGTGTAATGTGGAATGGCGGCACCGTTTCCCGGAGGCAACGGTCAGACACTTACCACGAGTGGCATCGGACCACACGCCGATCTTGCTCCAATCTAATGGGAGAGGAGGCCCGAGAGGCCCTGACACGTTCCGATTCCAGGCGGCTTGGTTGACCAATGACTCGTTTAAGGAGGTCATTCATAAAACCTGGGCTCCTAGCCATGCTTTGCAACGGAATATTGCCAAGGTTCGGGACGAACTCACTGTGTGGAACAGAGAGGTCTTCGGCAGCATCGAGGGTCGGAAAAAGAATCTTCTTGCTCGCATTGGGGGAATCTAACGACACCAGTCTTTCCCAAGCCACAAGGGCCTTCGGCAGCTAGAGAAGAAGTTGAGAGGGGAATTAGAGAACGTGCTCTACCAAGAGGAGCTTATGTGGTTCCAGGGGTCGATGGAGGAGTGGATCGCGTCAGGGGACAGAAACACTCGGTAGTACCACACCGCCACGATGGTTCACAAATCAAGGAATAAAGTGCTTAGTTTGATGGATACGGAGGGCAACTGGATCACTGACGTTGAGCCGCTTCAGCAACATGTGCGAGACTTCTATGTTAGCTTGTTCAGAAATGAGGGTGAGGGGAATATGCAACGGGCGGCAAGTGGTCTGTTCCCCAGATTAGGGAGGCGGGAGTGGCGGATGTTTAATAGGGCGGTGACTAAAGAGGAAGTCCGACGTGCTGTCTTTGACATGAGCCCCATGAAAGCACCAGGACCGGATGGGCTCCACGCGGCCTTCTATCAGCACTCTTGCGAGGTTGTGGGGGACTGTGTGTTTGATCTGGTGAAGACGGCTTTTGAGACAGGCAAGCTTCCAGAAGGGGTCAACGACACACTTTTGGTCCTTATCCCGAAGGTTGCAATACCCGAGAACATTAAACAGTTCCGACCAATTAGCTTATGTAACGTATCATACAAGGTGATAACGAAAACGATAACAAATCGGCTGAAGTATATTCTATCGAGGATTATCGGCCCTTTTCAGAGCTCTTTTGTGCCGGGACGGCAGATCACGGACAATATTATTATTTACCAAGAAGTCATGCACTCTATGCGGACCAGGAAAGGGAGAGTGGGGCTTATGGCAATTAAAATAGACCTGGAAAAAGCGTATGACCGGCTATCTTGGAGTTTTATTAATGATACTATTCTTGATGCAGGTTTTACAGAGGACTGGGCACGCATCATTATGGAATGTGTCCGCACTGCGAAAATGCAAATCGTTTGGAACGGGGTGCGCCTGGAGACTTTCAAGCCGGGACGCGGGATCCGTCAGGGCGATGCCATGTCACCGGCGTTGTTCGTGTTATGCATGGAACAGTTGAGCCAGAATATATCAACGGAGGTGGGAAGAGGGGCGTGGAAGGGCATTCGTGTCTCGGCAACGGGCCCGACTCTCTCGCACCTTTGCTTTGCCGACGATATGGTTCTCTTCTCCGAGACTTCACTGGAACAGGTGGCGGTTATTAAGATATGTCTGGATAACTTTTGTGCAGAGTCGGGGAAACGGATTAGTCTGGGCAAATCCCAGGTTTTCTTCTCAAAAAATACGCAGGCCAGTGTAAAGGAGGCCATTTCAACAAAGCTATGCATCCCGAGTACTGCAGACTTGGACAGATATTTAGGCGTCCTGTCCATCCATGGAAAGGTAACGAATGCAACCTTTGCGGGACTGATCAACCGGGTGGAAGCGAAGCTCGATGGATGGAGGAGCAAGACCTTAACGCTGGCGGGACGGGTCACTTTTGCTAAATCGGTGCTCTGTGCCATCCCCAACTATACTATGCAGACAGTGTTCCTGCCCAAAGGGGTATGCCAGAAATTAGAAGCGATAACAAGAAAGTTCATTTGGGGAGGGGTTAGCGACGCAAGGAAGCCCAGCTTGGTGAACTGGGACACGATCATGAAGACGATGGACCGCGGTGGACTGGGTTTTAGGAGGCTGCACGATGTCAACATAGCGTTCATGGCAAAATTAGGGTGGCGCATGCGTAGGGAGCAGAATAGCCTCTGGGTGGACATGCTAGTTGGGAAATATAACACGATGCTTTCTAGTGATAACCGACATGCCTCCAACTTATGGAGAGGGATTACTGCTGCTTCGTCTGTTCTTGAACAAGGGCTGACGAAGGTTGTGCGCACGGGGCGGGAGACACAGTTTTGGATGGACGAATGGATCAGAGGGGTGAAATTGTTTGATCACATGAAGAAACCGGTGAGCTTTTCGGAGCTATACGCACCCGTGGCGGACTACTAGGAGAATGGTAGGGGGTGGAAGTGGGAGTTGATCGACGGCGTTCTGGATGACACTTGGAAGGATAAACTCCACGCGATTGTTGTGCTAGACAATGTTGACGGAAAAGATGATTGGGGCTGGAGGTTTGACACGAATGGAAAGTTCACGATTGCCTCGGCATACGCTGCTCTTCAAACACTGGAACTGGCTCCAGTGGATAGGGACTGGGAGTTCGTTTGGAAGATCAGGATTCCAAACAAAATGAACCACTTGCTGTGGCTGGTGAAACAAGAGAAGATTATGACAAACGTTGAGCGGCATAAGAGACATTTCACTATTAACATGATGTGTCCATTTTGTACAGGTGTCCCGGAGACAGTTGCTCATATCTTCAGAGATTGCGTGGAGATGGCTGGTTTTTGGGAGATGCTCATGCCATGGCGAGTAACGCAAATGCTACGTACGAAAGGCTGGGAGGAGTGGTTTTCTACAAACTTGAGAGCTGATCATAGGCTGGGTTTTGAAGAGGACTGGCAGACTACTTTCGGTGTTAGCATGTGGTGGTGCTGGAGGTAGCGTAACACCAGAATATTCGAAGGGACGCGTCTCAATTTGGCACAGCGGAAGGAGGTGATCATCAACCAACGAGACGAGATTATAGAAGCTTTCCGAAACAGATGGGACCTGGTGCGATGTCTAGGAGACCCGGCAGAGAGAGTGCGGCGTGGGAGAAGCCAACAGAGGGATGGTGGAAGATGAACGTAGATGAATGCTGCAAAGGAGTGGATAGGAAGGCGGGTTGCGGCGGTATTTTACGAGACCATGCGGGGCGCTGGATCGTAGGCTTCACGTGCAATCTTGGCTCGTGCTCGGCGGAGGTGGCAGAGGCCTGGGCGGTACTTCACGGCCTCCGGCATGCGATTAACAGTGGCGCCAGAAACCTCATCGTCGAAAGCGATTCTTTGGGGGTTATTAACCGCCTTGCTGGGAGCGGTTTTGATGCTAGAGACAATGACAATATTCTGCAGCTTTGTGATCGAGAGAGAGGCAAGTTCGCAAATTTGGAGTTTAAACATGTGAGACGGGAACAAAATAGAGTTGCGGATCGCTTGGCCGCGGATGCTCTTAATCATGATTTGGGGAGTCGGGCTTATATTACCATGCCTCAGATTGTTGAGGACGTCGTTTGGGAGGATAGCGTTGGTGCTAGGACACCGCGCGGCGCCACCCACTAGATCTATCTCGGGTTCATCCCTCCGTTCTTCCAAAAAAAAAAAAAATTAGTAATTTTATATTCATCTCCATTTATATTAGATATATTCCTATTTCCGTGTATTATAGGACTTCAATATATTAGGCATAATCAGACTCAAATCAAATCAAATTATAGTAATTTTATATTCATCTCCATTTACATCCTAATAGTATTCCACTATTCCTATTTTCGTGTATTATAGGACTTCAATATATTAGGCATAATTAGACATGCCTAATAACATTTACCGTGCAGAATATATTATTATATTGGCTAAATTTAATTATGGTGAATATTTAATTTTTATTATGACCATTAACATTCAATATATTAGGCATAATTAGACATGCCTAATTTTAATTGTGGGGATGACAACTCAAAAGAGTGTGGATCGTAAATATATGTGTATTAATTTTTTTTTTTTTTTTCGTGTTTATATTCACTACCATTATATATATATATATATATATATATATATATATATATATATCATATTAATACTGTATTTTTTTTCCTAAATAATTTTAGGCTTAGTTTGTTGATGTATCAATAACATTGTTCAATCTCTGTGAATAAGGATTATTCCTTTGTTGTGTAGTACCATACAGAATTTACTATACAATCATGTAAATGAAAATTAAAAGTTTCATATTTAGTTCTTATTAATATACATGCAATTGCATATATTGAAAAAGTAGTATATAAATTTAATAAAGTATATTTTATTTGTAGTTTTATTTTTTAAAAAATGCAATATTTCGCAACTATTTCAGGTAAGCACTTTAGCAAGTTGTTTGTATATTATATTTATTAATTACTTTATTTTTTTTTTTATTTTGTGAATATATTTCATGCATGAAAATTGAATTGTAGATGTATCATATCCAATTGTTTATCATAATATTCTTTTTTATTTTATTGTGATGAAGATTGTATTTATGAGTTTAGACATGGGATGGATTAACAACTATCATATTCTTTTTAATTTAATTGTGATGAAGATTATACAGATGAGTCATGAGTTTAGACAAATTAACATGGATGTTAGTAAAGGATGTGGCAACACCTAACTTGCACAATTAATATATAGATTAATTAGTCTTGGTATAATCAGAATTACTGATAAATGAGAATATAGATTTTCTTTTGTTGTTTACTAAGATGTTTGTAATAATTTGTTATTTTAAAACAGTGTATTAAAAGTTTATTATTTTAGCTAATTACCCATTTTAAATATCAAATCTTATTTAATTGATAGTATGTTTTGGAAATCAATAAAATAATAGTATTTTTTTTTTCAATTGTAATATCGCAATGTTTCCTATATAGTTATTACACAACAAAACTTTAAAATGAATAAAGGTTACATATCGCATTTACACATGAAACTTATTTACAATAATAGTTGTTAGTATCATAAAATCACTTCAACATAGAAATATTAAAAAAAATTGTTATTAATAATTAACTAATTAATATGTATTTAAAAGAATCATTGACTGAGAATAAAAATGGCATGAAAAGTAGATCAATTTGAAAAGGAAATGATAATTAATACTTGATTAAAAATGACACAGAATATATTACTGGAAATAAAAATATATATAAATATGTTATTAATAATTAACTAATTAATATGTATTAAAAAATCGTTGACTGAGAATAAAAATGGCATGCAAATTAGACCAATTGAAAAAGAAAACGATAATTAATATTTGATTAAAAATGGCATAAAATATATAAATTCTAAATATATATCGACAATTATATTAATAATTATAGTATAAATTAA